AGTTATGTGATAGTTATGTGATAGTTATAAAATAGTTATACAATAGTTTTTATATCTACATACTTTACTACAGGATGAGAAAAATCAAGTTCTAACCTCCACTCTATGGTTGAATGTAGTAAGTTTAGGAAATTGAGAAAAATTAAATTTTGTCCTCAGCACTTCAAGCACCATTTAATATCTAAATATACAATTTTTTCAGGCATTTGAACCCTTCCTGTCAGCAGGGGTTTGGGTGCCAAAAATGCTCTAAAAGGGACTGTAAGTGTAATTTCAAGTGACTCTGTACAAAGACGACAATGCCCTATTTACAACGGTATCCTTTAAAGCTTTGTCTGATCAAGTATGACTTAGATATTCATGTTTTTATTTAAACTGTTAACTTTGTGGTTTCTCTGCAAAAGTGACTTTCGCATTTCTTATTGATAAAAACAATGGAGAAATTCACAGAAATAAACACTTTTTAAGTAAAAAAAACTTCCAGATTTTTATGATTGAGGTTTCAGAGTACCGTTGTAAAGGAATTGTGTCTTTGCCACAAACTCTGAATTTATAATCCCTATATCTTTGGAACCCAATGTCGCAAATCTTTGATATTTCAAACTTACATTGTTTGATCTAACAAAATTCATAGTTTGAAATATCTAAGGTTTTCGACGTTGGAATCCAAAGATATAGGGTTTAGAAAAGCAGAGTTTGTGGCAAAGACTCAATTCCTTTGGGCATTGTCATCTTTGCATGGATAGTCACTTGTAATTACACGAACAGCCCCTTTAATTTATTTTCCTACTCAGTGAACATTCCATAAGACGGTGAATGACACATAAGCTGGAGTAAAATATTTTTGAAAAAATCTAATTTTCTAAATCCTAATTTTTAAATTTATCAATTGCATGCAGTTTTAGATTAAATAGGTTAACTTGCATCAGAATATAAAGACTGTTGAAAAATAGACAAATTCTTTAATTCTAAAAAGAAAAAAAACAGGACACTATTTTTCAACCGTTCCTTTAATAATCAATAGAATTCCCGCAGGAATTTAATATTAAGTTATAAAGAGGGGGGGTATTATATTGATATTGAGTCTTATAGATTTTACATGTTTATATACTCCATACATGTATTACAGGACAGCCACAAAAATTTAGTTCTGGAGAATTTTAAATGACATTCATGAAACTTTAAAATCCAAGCTATACAGATCACGTAAAAATAACTTTACAACGGAGTAATTCATGTCTGTACAACGGAGTACATCCTGTCTGTACAATGGAGTACATCCTGTCTGTACAACGGAGTAAATCCTGTCTGTACAACGGAGTACATCCTGTCTGTACAACGGAGTACATCCTGTCTGTACAACGGAGTACATCCTGTCTGTACAACGGAGTATATCCTGTCTGTACAACGGAGTACATCCTGTCTGTACTACGGAGTTCATCCTGTCTGTACAACGGAGTACATCCTGTCTGTACATATACGTCCAGTCTGTACAACGGAGTACATCCTGTCTGTACAACGGAGTATATCCTGTCTGTACAACGGAGTACATCCTGTCTGTACTACGGAGTACATCCTGTCTGTACAACGGAGTACATCCTGTCTGGATCGACGTGTTTCCAGTAGTTTATTTCATCTCTTAGGACAAAATATGTTTAAAAGAGTTGAGATTTTGTCACAAACTTCAATTTTCAAATCACTTTATCTTTGCAACCGGATCTTGTAAACCTTTTATATTTCAAACAAAACATTTGATCTGTTGATCTTTCCGAAGTATGAAATGTCACAGGTCTACAAGAACGGGTTGCAGAGATACAGGGGCTAACAAATCAGAGTTTGTGGCAAAAACTCGACTTCTTTACTTTAATATTTTGAATATATAGTTTAAGAAAAAAGTATAAAATCGAAAGATGGAAAAAAGTTAATTTAACAGGTAATATGTGAATATGGGTCATTACAAACCTTTAAGTAGGACCTCTATATAATATACCGTAATGTGTTCAAAAACGTACATTAACCCTTTCCTGATTGGGCTATTTTTGTCTACTATAGATTGGAGGGGGGGGATGTTTTCCACCCCCCCCCTCTATGATTTTGCCCTTGGGTTGAGATAGAGGAGTGTGATACATGTCCATAGTCTAACTATTCAAAGCCTGTTAATTAAAAAAATCAGACCGCTGACTTTAATGTTTAGGGTGTAAGGGAGGATTTAAAAAAAATAAAAAGTATGGTGAAAACATTTTCAAAAATAGTTTACTTTTGACAAATATTAACATATGACACATGTTATGATATCCATTTTCAAGGCCTTTTCAAATATATAAGTCTGAGCCCTGTAGCTTAATTAATAAAACAGTTTTAACCGTTTTTAATTTTTTTGAAACAACAAACCGCCATTTAAAACTTTCATGTTGAAAAAGTGAGAAGTTTTAGCGGTCTAATGTAAACCGTTTTAAAGTTATTCAGGAGAAACTACAGGGGGGGATAGGAAAACATCCCCCCCCCCCCACAGTTCTCGTCATGGAAGAAATTTAAAAGGAATGAAGAATTTGCCCCAAACTCCAATTTTCTAATCCCTTCATCTTTGCAGCCCAATGTTGTAGACCTTAGACATTTCAATCTATGAATTTTAATAGATGAAATAATATAAGGTTTTTAAAAAAAAAGTTGATTATGGCTTGGTTAAAAACTTGACGATGCCTAATTGTGAAATCTATATAATACAACAAGACATTCGTATATATGTTGCCTATAGCCGGCCAAACGGCTGGACCGATTGGTCTGAAATTTTTGTGGACACTGATAGGTGGCCGAGGGGTGACAAAGGATAAAAAATCGGATTTTATTCTTTTGATCGAAATGTTTATTTTAATTTTTTTCCACGGGCAACGCCGGGACCTTCAGCTAGTTTAAAATAAAAAGTTTTAATTTTAAAAAGTGTTTATCATATTAATATTTAAGCCCTCTATTTTGCCTGCAATTTACTTACTTAGCTCTCATGCGGTCACCTAGACTTTTTGTACAGGTTCACATCAACTGCTGCAATATCCTTCTCTGTTTTTATTTCATTTATTTATCGAGGATTAGAAGGATTTGATAGATAGATATAGAAAGATCACGCACCTCTGCCCTTTAGTAAAAGTAAATTCAAACTATATGAAGCATAAAGTCTGACCGCGTCAACCTTGTTGCACCGGCTAGTCCTGTCCAAGAGCTAGGTACAGTACAAACTGGGATCGAAAAAGTTGACCCGGCTCGGAAATTCAAATGTACTACTGCTGCCCGTGAGATATATATTTGACTAAATAAATTTGATGAAACCCTTGGAATTTTATCTTATAAAAAATTTCCCACTAATGAGACTACGACGAATAAAAAATTTTCAAACTTAACGAATGAGATAAATCTGTTCTAATTTACTTGATTTTAGAGCTATAACCCTTCAGCAGAATTTTTACTTAGAATTTGAAAATAGTTTCGTTTTTTGAGACATCCTTCGTAATAAATTTTTTTTATAAAGATCAATTTGATGAAATCCATGGTTTTCATTTGGACAGACTTTGATCATTTTGATGAATGATTTTTACCAAGTTGACTCAGGTCTTTTCCAGAATATTAAACATAAAAAATGGATGTTTTAATGTTTTTTATGTCCTCGAAAAACTTATCTTTTTAACTCATAAATGATAAAAAATATATAGGGACAACAACCCTATATGTACTCTTGGAAAATTATACATTACTAATAAAAATGCTTAGAGTTTTAAATATGTCTACACATATCTACAGATATATTTAAATATAGATATGTCTACAACTATCTACAGATATATTTAAATATAGATATGTCTACAACTATATACAGATGTATTTAAATATAGATATGTCTACAAATATCTACAAATATATTTAAATATAGATATGTCTACAAATATCTACAAATATATTCAAATATAGATATGTCTACAAATATCTACAAATATATTCAAATATAGATATGTCTACAAATATCTGCAAATATATTCAAGTATAGATATGTCTACAAATATCTACAAATATATTTAAATATAGATATATCTACAAATATATTCAAATATAGATATGTCTACAAATATCTACAAATATTTTCAAATATAGATATGTCTATAAAAATCTACAAATATATTTAAATATAGATTTTTCTTTAAAAATCTATAAATATTTTCAAATATAGATATGTCAACAAATATCTACAAATATTTTCAAATGTAGTTATGTCTATAAAAATCTACAAGTACATTCGAATATAGATATGTCTACAAATATCTACAAATATTTTCAAATATAGATATGTCTACAAATATCTACAAATATATTCAAATATATAGATGTCTATAAAAATCTACACATATATTCAAATATAGATATGTCTACAAATAACTACAAATATTTTCAAATATAGATATGTCTTTAAAAATCATACACATATATTTAAATAAAGATATGTCTATAAAAATCTACAAATATATTCAAATATAGATATGTCTATAAATATCTACAAATATATTCAAATATAGATATGTCTTTAAAAATCATACAGATGTATTTAAATATAGATATGTCTACAAAAATCTACAAATATATTTAAATATAGATATGTCTACAAAAATCTACAAATATATTCAAATATAGATATTTCTATAAAAATCTACAAATATATTTAAATATAGATTTATGTCTATAAAAATCTACAAATATATTCAAATATAGATATGTCTATAAATATCTACAAATATATTCAAATATAGATATGTCTATAAAAATCTACACATATATTTAAATATAGATTTGTCTATAAAAATCTACAAATATATTCAAAGATAGATATGCCTATAAAAATCTATAAATATTTTCAAATATAGATATGTCTTTAAAAATCTACACATATATTCAAATATAGATATGTCTAAAATATCTCCAAATCTAAAAACATATCTACGTATATCTATATACTATACCAGGATGAGAAGAATCAGTTGCTAATAACATGTCTTTGGTTGAATCTGGTAAGATTTGTTACCTGTAGTCCCTGTAGGGTTAGACCTCGAATTTTCATAGTTCGATAATTCTATCATTTCTAACTTTCTCGAATAAGTTGTATGATCTTTCAGTTTTTATCAAACTGTTAGAAATAATGAATTACAAATCATTGAAAGAAAAACTTTTTCTCTTTCAAAGTAAATTTCTTTCAATAACGTTTTGGAAGTAAAAAGAAGAATTTAGAACTATTAGAAAACGATCTCCACCTTCTGTTATATAAGATGTACATATCAGATTAAATATGTTTTGATGTTATTGTTATTTAGTTGTAGACGCCCTTTATACCCAATTTCAGAATTTGTTCTTAATTTTCTTCTTAAAAATTTAAAAGATTTCTCTTAAACTGTTTTCATGAACAATTCAGGGGAACAAAGTTCCCAACCGTGATTTAGCCAAGTTGGAACATAATCAAGGTTTGGAACTTGTATCCTCTGAAATAAGGGGTTTTAATATACTTAGCTGTACACGTAATAGATTTATAGAAATTTCATAAATCATTTTGATAAAAAGAAAAACAAAGCATGAACTATTAAACATTTTAACTCTTATTTCGAGGATGAGAAATTAAGAGTTTATTTGTACTTTTTTGGTTTTACATTTTCTATTATTTCTGAATAAAAAATATATATTTTGCTCAGGATTTCCAATCGGAATTCTGTTACGCACATTTAGCGCAATGATTGGAAACTGAAAAAAACGCAATTGTACCTAATTTCAAGTGACCTTTCATGCAAAGATGGAAATGTCCGATTTACTAAGGTACCCATGACACCTTAATCTGATCAAAAATGGAGGGAAACCCGTCGTTTTTATTTCTGTGAGTTTCTCCAATGTTTGTTATAATCAAGAAATGCGCAAGCCACATTCGCAGAGAAACCGCAAAAAAAGAAAAACAATTTATTCATACTTGATCAGACAGGGCTTTCAAGACTCAAGAGTACTGTTTTCATGGAGAGTCACTTGAATTTACGCTTACAATCCCTTTAACCGTTGGAAACCCTGCTTTAACCCTTTTACATCGATTATATCAATGTCAACCCTTGATGTTTTCTGTGCAGAAACTAGATAAATTGATAATTTCCCTACAATATTTTATTCAGGACTTATAATAAGAAGTAATTGCTTAAATCAAAATAAACCAAACATTTTTATAAGTAACACAAATAAGTCTATTTCACCCTTCAAAAATGTTCTTAAAGTCCTAGGCTAAAAAACTCAAATTAATTGTTATTATTTTTAACCCACTTCAACAAATTTTGAATAGTTTTAGTTATATTTTATCGGCGAAATTAACATTAAACTTGGATTTCTTAGTAAACATTAGACTAACAATTTTGGACATTTTGGGTCTCAGGGACATTCTTGAGTGTAAGATATTTAACTTGGTAAACAATCCCTTTAACAAATAATAAAACATTAAAATGATGAGATTTTAACTTTTTAGCTTGAAAATTAGTATTTTCCAGGCTAATATTTTTAAATACATGAAAAAAATACACTTTGTATTCATTCATTTACAAATACTGTAAGGGTCAATAATTTATTTTCTAAATACGATAAATAATTATTGATTTTAATATTTGTTTGTAAATCAGGAGTGGGAAGATTATCAACTTAAGTGGAATAAATCAGAGTTCGACGGAGTTGACAGTGTCAGGTAGTAGCTCTTCATTCGGTCATTTGGTCATTCAGTCAATCGATCATTCGGTCATTCTATCATTCGGTCATTCGATCATTGGGTCATTCGGTCATTGGGTCATTTGATCATCCTATCAGTTAGTCATTCGGTCATTCAGTCATTCGGTCATTCAGTCATTCGGTCATTCAGTCATTCGGTCATTCAGTTATTCGGTCATTCAGTCATTCGGTCATTCAGTCATACGGTCATTCAGTCATTCGGTCATTTGATCATTCGGTCATTTGGCCATTTGGTCATTTGGTCATTTGGTCATTTGGTCATTCGGTCATTTGGTCATTTGGTCATTTGGTCATTTGGTCATTTGGTCATTTGGTCATTTGGTCTTTTGGTCATTTGGTCATTTGGTCAATTGGTCATTTGGTCATTTGGTCTTTTGGTCATTTGGTCATTTGGTCAATTGGTCATTTGGTCATTTGGTCTATTGGTCATTTGGTCATTCGGTCATTCAGTCATTCTGTCATTCTGTCATTACTTCATTTGGTTATTTGGTCATTTGGTCATTTGGTCATTCGGTCATTCTGTCATGCAGTCATTCGGTCATTCAGTCATTCGGTCATTCAGTCATTCGGTCATTCAGTCATTCGGTCATTCGGTCAAAACAAAAAGTTTTCTTTATTTTGGCGTTTTGAAAATCTTCAATCAAAATAAATCATCAACTCTTTTTGGTTGATTTTTAATCGGTGTTTGCATAATTTGTTCCATGTTGTTGCAATTTTTCGTGTTTACAAAATGCATAAATGATTTACCTTAGATGATCCATCATATTCCAAGGTTAGGTCTTTCCGAACCTTGCTCAATTTTTATTTTCTATGTTTAGGATTCATCCAAAGTTTTTGTGGACTCCCGACCTTCTGATGTACAATAGGTACCCTAGTGGTCAAACATGACCATAATAAAATTGAATCAATTATTTGAAAAAAAACTAATTTTGCTTAGCTTGTTTATAAAATGTACATTACTGACTAAAATTAACTTCTTCTGTATGAAATGCTACTGAGGGACATGATGGTAAAGTTTGCTCCGTGGAAAATCTGTAGATCTAGAACAAAGTGAAACGATCCAGATTTTCGAACTCCGGATCGTTTCTTCATGCTTGGAAATGGGCGTTGTTTTGTTTGCATGTGAGATTAGACCATGCATAATTGCTTGGTTTTGTCTCCGGGGTTTCAAGGAGGGATATAAGCAATGAATAAAGTTAAAATAACAAATGGCACGTAGAAAGGATTAGCTATTGTCCAACTTTCTCCGTTCTGTTGTTACTCTAGCTTAATGTCCTATGCTTGAATATACTCTTCTACAACATGTTACATATTCATCGCCAATATTTAAGGTGGTATAGAAAGACATTAAAATTATTGGTTCTACTATTATTCATGAAATTTTCTTGATTGTTCATCATATTTATGAACTTTTTTCCCGCGCTGACCATAGATTTTCTTTTAAGTGCTGATGAACAATTTGATGGAACTTTCCAAACCAATGTGGTGGTGTCCAGTGATGGAAAATGTCTTTACGTTCCACCTGGAATATTCAAAAGCACTTGTAAGATAGACATTACATGGTTTCCCTTTGACGATCAGCTTTGTGACCTCAAGTTCGGATCCTGGACCTACTCAGGGTGGAAGGTAATCCCAGGACATCCAAGAGCAGAAAGACTGAAAATCAAACCTGGAATCTACTTCTCTCAGAGTAAATTCATCCTGGGGTCGGCACTTTTCTATGAAACGCCTGAACTCAAAACTTTTAATTGAAGCGATTAACTGCTTAATCTGTTAAAAACAGATTTACGTGGCTTTTGAGTAGAATTGTTTGAATTACTTTGCATTAGCTATTTTTCAAACATTTTTGTAGTTACGCAGAGTTTTTAATCCAAACTAGCGGATGCCCAAGAATACTTCTGAGTAGTAGAAACATAATAAACAATAAGTACGAACTGATTTCTAAACGAGTTTTAACTAGTTCCGGCCTCTGGATGCTAACAGTAGGGGGGAAATGATTTTACGCGAAGAACAAAATTGCAACATTCATTTCGACTAGAATTGCAAGAATCCTGTTGTTAATGCAAATCATCCTCCAATTGTACTTATTAAAGTAAGTGAAATTTTGTTTCACTTACTTAACACAGGAAGAAATACAATTGAGTCAATTTAAGAGGTTCCTTGAGATTCTTTTTAGGAAAGGGACTGTGAGTGTAATTTCAAGTGACCCTCAATGTAAAGATGAATACCCGATTCACATCGGTACCCTTGAAACCTTTATTTGATCAATAATGTGGAAGATATTGTAGTTCTGATAATTCATATTTGTTTTCCTGTGGTGGAAATGTGCAAGTCACTTTTGTATAGAATCCACGAAAAAAAGTATTAAAGGGACTGTAAAGGAAAAATGAAAGTGGTATAGGCAGAAAGCTAATCACTTTAGCTCTCGATCGCGACCCATGAAAGTTATATCTGATGATCCTATCTCGAGAAATTGATTTACAACTTTGTCAAATTTATACGAAAATTAATATATATACAATTTTGTATAAAAGTAGTGGGTTTAATAAGATCAAATTCAGCAAATATGCAACCAATCTGAAAACGATGATATCCCAGAGAAAGCTAATTGTAACTTATGTTTACTCCAATCCTAATTTTATATTTGTTATTTCTATTTTTATAGATTTAATTCATAATATTATTTATACGTCCGTATTGCTTGACCAGAAATTCCACCAATGGCAGTGCAGTAAAGTGGTCACGTGATACAGGCGGAGACACGTGACCAGTATACTGCTCTGCCATTGGTGATAGTTCTGGTCACGTGATTTAAGTTTAAGATTTTCTAAATTTTACATATATGAAATTTTGTATAATTTTAACACAGTTTTTTATCAATTTCTCGAGACAGGAACATCAGATAAAACTTTCATGGGTGACGATCAAGAGCTAAAGTGATTAGCTTTCAGCCTATACCACCTTTCATTTTTCCTTAACAGTCCCTTTAAGTTTTCAAAATTATAAACATTGATATATAATTCAGACAAAGTTGTTAATGGCACCGTTGGGAGTTAGACACTGTCATCTTTTCATGAAGAGTAACATAAGATTATACTTAAACTCCCTTTTAAGTAGTGTTGTCAAAATAGAGCTAGAACTGTATATTCCAGATTCCAGGTTTGATAAATCTAAATCAGTCTAGATCTGTGTATAATAAACACTGTACAACTCAGGTTGTATTTTCACACGAATGCATGTAACTTTTTAAAATAAAGGACAACATTTTTTGAAAAATAATTTTTCACTTTTACTCACATTTTGGTGTAACCTTGATTTTTACAAATTGACAAAACTGTGCAAATCAAATGTTACTCAAGGGAGGTGTAAGATAGAACATATTCAAGAAACTGCTGTTATTGATTCCACTCACTCCTATGCACTGCCAGTTTATGACAGTGCATGGGAGGGGTCTAGAGTTATCTTGGAGTAACTTTTTTCTATCCTTTCACTACTCCCTCTCAATAGGATTTCGTTATATATTCTAAATTCCGCATTAACCCTCTGAGAGCGAGGTATAAAACTGTCTAAATATCCATTTTTTTCTCACTCCATAAAATAACAGAACTGGAGTTCTTAAACCCATTTTATTCCAATCCTTTTTCCCTAGTTTCCAGTGGTATATACGGGTATTAGAAACAGTGCGGCCTGGACCTGATATAGTCAATGGGAATGCCATGTATGCTACCCACAGTCTGGAGAACTTATTACGAAGGGTTTCTGCAGTTTACTCTGGTAGCAGAACAGAGTACACTACGGATTCTCTGGAGTCTCCTATACACTGCTTGTTTTTTATCTATTCCTTTTATACTTTGCTTTGCACATATGCCTTGTTCATTGCGTTCCTTTATGCTCTACTACTAATATATACGACGTTATATTTACTATTGTTACATACATTCATCAATATAACAGATTTGTTTAAACTTTAAGTAGTTAGTTAGTTTATAGAGTAAAGTAATATATTTCAAGTACTTTCAAGTATAAAGTATACACAGTGGGGCGAATGTGTGTATATATATACACATTTTTTAAACATCGAAATTTGTTGGAGGCAAATTTTTATATATACTAGGTCCCACACAAAATTTGGGCCGGATCGGCTCAGCCGTTTCGACGTTTATTGGATGCAAACAAACAAACAGACACCCAGACAGACAGACAATATATATATATAGATATAGATGAATATAAAGACAATAATGTAAAAAATGCTAAACTCTTGAAGAAAAGAGAATTATTTGTTTTAAGATTAATGTGGAAATTTAAATTTTTAAGCTTCGGAAAATATTTTCAAATTGAATATGTAAAATTGAAATATGGTGAAATGACATATATTCTATCAAAAAATGTGAATGTATTGGCTTGCAAAACATTTCTTACAATAGAGAATTAGAAGAAAAAAAATATTCTTTTCACATATCATTCAAAAATATCTTATCGTTAATTTAATCTTTATCCTAACATAACATGAGAATTAAGTGACATATTTCGACTTTTTGTGATCTACCAACGGAATTTCCCAGTCGTGGGATTTCCAAAATGTGCTCTGTCATTTGCTTTCAAAATTGACGTGTATTTTAGGAAAGGAATTGAATCTTTATCACAAACTCTGATTTTCTAATCCCTATATCTGTGCAACCTAATGTTTTAGTCCTCAGATATTTTTAACTATGAATCATATTAGATCAAATAATCTAAGTTTAAAATATCAAAGGTTTACGCAGGTCGCAAAGATATAGGATTGAGAAAATTTGAGTTTGTGGTAAAGACTCAATTTCTTTGTCATGATTTCAATTAAATTAAAAAGTCAAAATTAAGTCAAAATTGTAAAATATCCTTAAACTCTGTTATTATTTTAAGATACATACAGAGAAGTTAGACCCGATTTCAGAAAGCTCCTAAGGCGCACGACCATTTATTTGATATAATCTTCTATACTTATCAATCATTCAAAATCAATGACGATTTAAATGTCGTCTTTTAATTTACATGTTAATAAGACAACCTGTGAATAAAAATCTAAATTTAATCTCAATCAATCGTAGGATTTCATTGGGTACATATTCGCCCTATTTTTATTTATTAAAGTATATTCTGGACATATTTCATAATTCTGCACATTATTAATTTTTCATATTTCTGCACATAGTTCATATTTCGTATTTCTGCACATATTTAATATTTCATATTTCTGCATGTTGAATGTTTTATTATAGTTCTGCTGAATAATTACCTACACGAATATAAGGCATTGCTATTTCTGGAAAAGTTACTATGCTCCGGCACCATCACTTATAAAACGTTTTAGACCTTTGATAAATTTTTGTAATTTTTTTGAAGAAAAAATGAGTTCACAAGTTGTACTTTTTCATCCCTTGATATTGAATCTGAGCTAAAAAACTGAAGTTAGATGATATTCCATACAAACTTCGAGTTTTTAATCTCTAAATCTTTGCACCCATTTTCTAAGACCTTTGGTATTGAAGTCTTTGAAAAATGTTAGATTAAATAAAATGTTAAAGGTTTAAACCCATCAGATTGAAAAAATACAGGAATTAGAAAATTTTGATATGTGGAAAAAACTCAATCTCTTTGAGATGATTAGGCTCAACTTTAAAGAACATTTCTGTTTGTTTTATTACACCATCAAAATGTCAGACTTTCTAAGACTAAAATTTTTCATCGGCCTAGAACTCTGCAGTTGAAGTAATGTAGCACTAGCAACACAGTAGATTTAATTTAATAAAAGGTTGAGATTATAAAGTGTTTAAAGTGTTGACCAAAGTTAATTATTTAGCTGGATTTACAGTTAAAACAAGATGATGGTGGGGACATCAGTAGTTTTATCAAAAATGGAGAATGGGATCTAATAGGTAATATCCAAACTGTACATATATATTTATTCACAGTGTTCACTGAAAATAGGTTTCAAAGTGTGACCGGGAAGGGGGGGGCAGTAAAGCTGTAAAACTTGAATTTAAAAAAGTAGAACTTTCTAAAGTAGCATGGTCCATGGTTACAATAAACTGGTATGTCGAGGCTGTATCAAACTCAAAGTCCATGCATTAAACTCAAGTCCTTCAAATAGGTATGAAATAAGATTACCTAATTTATTAGAGACAAATGTTTTAGGGGTGCCTATTTTGCGGGTTTTAACACCAATACTTTTATCATAAAATATTTATTTTATGATGAAATATTACTTGAAATATTTATAATAAGCCTGTTAATAAAGTGAAATGAATTGTAGCAAGTAGAGTAATTTTGTTGTTCCAACAAATAATCATTTCTAACTCAAATACAACACTGAAACTAGTTTACACTTAACACTGTGGTTAGTCTAACTGTGTTATGTCTCCATGTTGGAGGGGGGGGTGGCTAGCCAATGCATGTGTGCATGAATACCTTCAGGTGTACCCGGGAAAAAGAACAGTGTGACCTATGACTGCTGCCCTGAACCCTATGTGGACATCACGTTCACAATTCACATCCGGAGACGCACTCTATACTATTTCTTCAACCTGATTGTTCCTTGTGTTCTCATCTCGTCAATGGCTCTCCTTGGGTTCACACTTCCACCAGACTCGGGAGAAAAGCTAACTCTGGGTAAGTCTAGAATCATTTTTATCTTCTTAATAACAATTATTTTTAGGACATACATGGTGCAGCATTTGGATTTAATATTCAGCTGTAGAGAGGATTTTATTAACACAATATATACTTCTAAAAACTTTATAAAATACATTTCTGCCCAGCACTAAAGGTACTGATAGTAATTGATCACTGAACCTTGATAGCTTTTATCTGCTTGAAAATACCCCTGAAAAGCTGATTCTAATTAATAATCAGGTTAATATGATTTTAGCACCCACATGTACATATTGTCACATTTGTCCAGAGTTGTGTTATTACTTAATCTTTCAGATGTAACGGTTCTACTATCTCTGACAGTATTCCTAAACACTGTATCTGAAACCATGCCTAATACGTCTGATGCGGTTCCCCTAATAGGTTCGGGTTTAGGACAAATAGCAAACTTTAATTAGCTGTATTTACACATTTATGCAAGTAGAAAACTACTCAGACAAATTTATGTTTTAATCAAGCAAAAAGTTCAATATTTGTGTTCAGGGTGTCAAGACACTACAATTAATTTGAGTAAAGAAGTATCTGTATTTTATACACATCACATAGCTTTAATTATTTATGCCAAGCATTGGCAAACAATGCATGGATTGGTCCATAAAGTTACCATGCTTTGAAACCAATGTATAAGTCAAGTCCATCACAATTCACTGCAATTAAACTAGGTTGCACTATAAACCCCATTTAACATTTTAGGTGTAACTATTTTACTCTCTCTGACCGTATTTATGAATATGGTGTCTGCTATAATGCCAAATACAAGTGATGCTGTCCCTTTGATAGGTAACCCCCCCCCCCCCTTCAGCTTTTGAACCATGAACAGATTGTGACACTGTTCAATGATGCTACTTTTAATCCAAACAGATCCAACCTCAATGTTCTATTCTCTGTGCTACATCACTGCATGTTTGCCCTCACTGAGAATATTATAAAACACTGTTGTCTTCCCTTTATAAAGTTAGGCTTGAGTTCCAACCATTTTAAAGCTGATGGCAGATGCAACATTTCATTTCAATGTGTGATCTAACTAAATTATCTTTTCAACTCAGCGCAGGGGTCATTGATGCATTTTCGAGAGTTGAATATTCAGACTTTTTTAGGGGTTACCATCCTTCTTTCACTGACAGTTTTCCACAACATAGTGACTGCCACCCTCCCTAGCGTATCAGATGCGATGCCTCTTCTAGGTACTAAGAGAACCCGATGCAACCATGTCTGTCTATTTTTTATAAATGATTTTCGAGCTGAACAAAATAAAGTGTTGGTTTCTATAAATAGTTTCACGTTTAAACGTCGTCTCATATCTCAAGGAAGTAATTTTCTCGTTGAATAATAAAAGGATACGAGTAGGCATGCCTAATCCAATTCATTTCTGATTCTTTTAAAAAATCTCTTTTTAATCTATCAAATTCTTATTCATTTATAGGTCACACGTGTCACAAGATTATTTAAGGGCTTTAGAGATATTAAGGTCTTACGTTTAGTTGAATAATTTTATCAGTGACTTTTTTTAACAACAATTAATCATCGATGTAAGACAAATTATAAATTCCTAGGTTTATCCTAATTAATATTAGATCCCTGTTTAAGAAGCGTAAACAAAGAAATAGATTTTTTATTTACACGTCCCTCAATACTTGAAATCTGGAAGGCAAAAAGTTTAAGATTAATAGAATGTTATTAACTTATACATTATTTAGAGCAATGTTCGCCAACTAGGACAATTTCTAAACACTTTAATCTCAATTCCCTTTCTAGTTTAAAAATCTAGATAACGAACATTTTCATTATATTTTGTAGATTTCTAATGAACATAAAATGCTATGCATTGAAGTTGTATGAATCAGGCCAATACATGATTTTATTGAAGAAATCTTACAAGTGCTTTACTTGGGCTGTTTAATACACAATACATATATTCCATTACTAGATATTTTCAATCAATTATAAAACGGACTTTTCGTTCTAAAGGTAATATTTGGAAACTTGTAAATCAATGATATCAACATTAAAAGAAACACAATTGTTTGTTTTCATATATCGAAGAAAATTATCTAGGAAAGGAATCGAGTCTTTATCACTAACTCAAATTTTTGGATCTCTATTTCTTTGCAACCTGTTGGTATTGGTGGTGTTTTGTTGTATTAATTCATAGTTTGAAATGTCTAAGGTCTACGACATTGGGTTGGATAGATATAGGGATTTGAAATCAGATTTTGTGGCAAAGACATAATTCCTTTACAAGCGACTCGACTGGCAAAAACGTAATTGTTATGTTGGTTCGAAAGTCTGCAGGATGGTTCTAACCATCTAGTCTACAGAACATGTTTTGGTGGTGACATAAGTTAAAGTTTTCTTTATTCTAAGAAACTGTTGTCGTACTTTTATTGATCCTACATTTAAATATGCATGTCCGATTCTCAAGGGTACCCTTAAGCCAGAATAACGTGGTTTTACTTGTTGTTTAGTTCTAATAATTTCCACATTGTTTCTAAAGGAAGAGATACTCAAGTCACTTTTGTAGAGAATGCTCAAATGATAACAATCAGTTTTCAAAACAAAAACATAGATTTCAAATCTAATCTTAATCAGCCAAAGCTTTTAAGGGTACTGTTGTAAGTCGGACATGTCACTCTATTGATGGAGGGTCACTTGAAATTACGTAATTACAGTCCTTTTAATAAAACTTTTTTGATAATAAAACATGAATATTTAATATTTTTTGCCAATGTATATGAACAACTTAAAAAAAAGTATAAGGAGTTGTTAAATATTAATGAATCATACCTAATAAATCTTCTGAATCCACGTGGTGATCTTAAATACTTAAAATCCGCTAAACCCTGTTGTTTCATTTTCAGGTGTAACTATATTACTCTCCCTCACTGTATTTATGAGTATGGTATCAGAGATTATGCCAAATACAAGTGATGCAGTACCTTTGATAGGTAACCCCAAAGTTAATGAGCAGAATTCGACGCTGTATCATATCTTTTATTATAAATATTTATAGCATAGATTTAGCCCTATGTACAATTCTCTGTGCGGCGTCATTGCATGCCTATACGCTCATTTAGAATATTAAACAGCACTGTCGTCTTCTATTGTTGAAGTAATTAAAAATGTAGATTTCATACTATTTGAAGATGACAGAGTTTCAGAATTTAATTGTGTGTAAGATTTATATTAAGTATCTATTTCTTTATAGTGCAGGGGTCATTTAAACATTTATTGAGAATTGTAGTTATTTTTCAGGGGTTAACATTCTTCTATCTTTCACAGTTTTCCACAGTCACGGAAACCCTGCCAAGGGGTCTCAGATGCTACACCTATCCTAGGTACAACGATCCTACGCCCCATCTTGTCTTTTTACAGTGATTTTTAAGCTGAACAAAATAGGTTGTAGGTTTCTACACTTTAGTTTTATGCTATTTTGAAATTAAAAAAAAAATAGATATGTTAAATGGTGTAAGCGCTGCTACCATACTTATATCTACATAGCAATAAGCATATTTTTAAAGGTCTATCTCAAAATTATCAGAAATACATTATAAGCTGTAAATCCTAGTTGAAGGTCAGTTTCTAGAATGTTTTTTATAAAAATGCAAAACTAGACACCTTTGATTCCCAAAGACTCAAAAAACAGTATTGCATGTTGCATTATGCTACAGCAACGTGTGAGAGTGTAAAGTAGAAATGGATCAATCATTTTGAGCTAAACCATAGATATAAAAATATCTTCAAAAATTACCCCCCCCCCCCCATTACATTTTCATTTTTAGGTGTCACTATTTTACTCTCTCTGACCGTATTTATGAATATGGTGTCTGAGATTATGCCAATCACAAGTGATGCTGTACCTTTGATAGGTAACCCATACCATCTATGGACAGGCTATGACACTGTTCAAACTCATAGAATTACATAGATTTAGCCCATTTACTTTGCTCAATTGTTGCATGGCTATGCTCTTGAAGAATCTTTAAAGATTTTGTCTTCTAAATATTATGTGTTATAATTAGGATTCATTATATTTCAGTAGAATTTGTTCCAGGATTCACAACAGGGTCTTCTCTTATGATTAAGATGCTAAGTTCTAGTTGTATTTAGGGGTTACCATTCTACTTTCACTGACTGTTTTCCACAACATAGTGGCTGAGGCCCTCCCAAGGGTATCTGATGCGATGCCCCTCCTAGGTACAAAAGCATCCCCCATTTTACCCTGTCTGTCATTTTTCACAAAATTGATTTTCAAGCTGAACAAAATAAATTGTTGGTTTCTTCTTCGCTTCTTCATCAAATATTAGGTTGAAAGTGAAATATCAAAATCAATTGAGCATATTCTGGTGCATGAGTATGATAACAACTTTTAAAAGGACTGTAAGTGTAATTTCAAGTGACCCTCCATGCAAAGATGACAATGCCCGATTTGTCTGGTCAGTATAAATTATATATCAACGTTTTTGTTTTTTTAAACTAGTTATTTTCACTTTCGGTTTCTCTGCGAAAGTGGCTTGCGCATTTCTTTAAGAAGCGATGGAGAAGCGCACAGTATAGAGACACACTTCTCGAAAAACGACAATATCTTCCAAATTTTTGATCAGAATAAGGTTTCAAGGGTACAGTTGAAAATCGAGTATTGTCATCTTTGCATGGAGGGTCACTTGTATACACGCTTACAGTCCCTTTAATCATTAAATATTCAGTAGATCGCTGCATCTTTTGAACACCATGCTGAACCCATATTGATAAAATGAATAAAAAACTCTTGTGCAAGTTTTTGGCGTTTTGATGCACTCTTCAGGTCAGTCGAGTCACCTATATTCACAATCACAACCACAGAAATCATATTTTTCGAAAAATATTCCTGCAACACAGTACATATATTACATTAGTCTGATTAAAACGATGATTCATTTTGCGTCCTGTCCCATTTTGTTGATATAGACTTTGTGTATGCTGTACAACTTGCTTCAGCTGCCTAAAATTCGGCGCGGTAGTTCGAATGAACAGGAGGTTTCAATGATATACCACGCATATAAAAGTTGGAGAATATTCATCTATCTGAAGGTTCTCTTCATATGTTCAGTGTACAGAGAGACATGAAACACAGCAAATGTGCAATTTACACATTATACAGACAGGCCCATTTTACACTGCCCTAAAAAAACATGAATAACACATAAAACTGCTTAAATGTCGTGTTCCTATTCCACAGTGTTATGGGTCTTAATGTAAGAAAAAAAAAAATTTCGAAATGAGCTGTACGTAACCAAAAAAACATTTATTCAGGCTTTCTACAATTTTCAACAATTTTCCTTATTCTACTCAACAGTATACTAAATATCTTATCTAATAATAGTCTAATTAGTTGGATAAACGATCCTATATTCAATTAAATTAATCTAATTTGAAGTGAGTGCCTTGTGTCTTTAGAGTCTTTAAGCTAGGGTCTCTAATCAGAATTCTGTTGCGCGGAATTGTGCTCGAATTGAAGGAATTGTGCGAAATTGCGAGGAATTGTGCTTGAATTGTAAGGAATTGCAATGAATTGTGCGGAATTGTGAGGAATTGTGAGGAATTCCAAGGAATTATGCAGAATTGCAAGAAATTTTGCGGAATTGCGAGGAATTGCGCGGAAATACTGGGGCTCGCAATTGCGTGCAAGTATAATCCACTTAGGTTGGAAAACCTACTTCAAGCTCTTAAAGGGACTGTCAAGGTAAATTCAAATAACTCTCTTTTCAAAGATTTACATATGTGATTTAAAATGGTATCCTTCAACCGTTTTCTTTTCAAATATGTTATTTCAACTCTTGTTCTAAAACAGCAACTTGCAGTTTTATGCAGCATGGAACAAAAAGGGAAATATAAAGAATTCATGTATTTTTAAGAAGAAAAACGTGTAAATCTTCCTTTTGTTGATTCGATAAAGGGCAAAAAGGCACCGCTGTGAATCGGAAATTTAATGAATTAAAGGGACTGTAAGCGTAATTTCAAGCTTGACCCTCCATGCAAAGATTGGAATGTTCGATTTACAATTGTACCCTTGAAACCTTCATCTAATCAAAAATGTGGAAGATATTGTCGTTTTCCTGACTTAAAAAGTGATAATGTCTCCATTGCTTCTTAAAAGCAAAAAATGCACAATTGTCACTTTTGCAGAGAATCCGCACTGGAAATTAAGAAACAATAACGTTGATATCAAAATCGCAATTGATCAGACTAAGCTTTCAAGGGTACCTTTGTAAATCGAACATTACCATCTTTGCTTGTAGGATCACTTAAAAGTATCCTTTAAATTGATGGTTTCTAAAAAACATCGACATTCGACACTCAACAAAAAAAAAACATATCATCCAAAGACTAAATATTCTATCGGAGAGAAAATAAAACAACATATCATCCAGAGACTAAATATTCTATCGGAGAGAAAATAAAACGCTTGTAATATTAGAAATGATTTATGGATGAACCCGTCCCAACAATATATTTAATGATTATTTGAACTAGAAAATCATATTTATTTGAATTTGTTCTTCTAAAACCTTAAATATTATATATTCTGCTTTCTCCTCAGACATAAACTGTGCCATAGAAAAACGTAATTTGGCGATATGTCTTTTCGAAAAGAACTGAGTTTTTGTTAAAACCTCAAATTTTCAATCTGATAGTGTATCTAAATATTTGTTTTTTCAAACTTAAATTATTTTATCAGAACAGAATTTCTAGTTCGAATATACGGAATTGGGCGAGAAAATCAGAGTTTGTGGCAAAATCTTAGTTCCGTTGTCCAAAAAAATCTGAAAAAAATACTGTAATTTGGCTTTTTCCATTGGCAATATTAAGAAGATAAAATGTATGGCGTCTTTGTTTTTATTTATAATGTTTTTCGATAATATTGTTAAGTCTTGTCAAGAATTTTGAAATCCATAATTGTTTTAATACAGAAAAGGAATTGAATTGTTGCACAAACTCTGATTTTCTACTTTCTATATCTTTGCAACCCGATGTCGTAGACCTTTGATATTTCAAACATTAATTCTTTTTAAACTACATCCAGGGATTAGAATATAGGAGTAACTGTTGCAAAAACAAAATTCCTTTTTAACTGTTTTTTTTTCTTGAAATTTGCCTTGGACGTTTTTGATGCATATCAAACTCATTTACCTAAAAGAACTATGACACAAATGGTTTCCACTCTCTAGTATCACTGATAGATACTTTCTTATGATTTAACTTTTCTTCATTTTCTAGAGATTTTTAGTAAATTTATGAAGTTACAAATATATGAATGTTTTTGGTGGACAAGCTAAAGTATAACTCCAGCTATAAAACTATAAAACACCCAGCGTTGCCCAGGTTACTTATAGTTACGTCCGCCGTTTACCCGCACTTGGTCAATTTTGCCGGGAAACTAAATTTTTGCTATAAATGTCGATCCACTCAATTTAGAATCTTTAAACCAAGCTAAAAACATTCTCGTGGTTTGATTTGAGGCATATTGGTCCATGGTTTGTGAGTTATAATCGGACATAGACACAAACAAACAGAAACTACAACGTTATAAATGAAATATTTAGGATTCTATACTGTAGGCAGGAAAATATAATTGTCTAGGGTCATGTGTCTGTTCTCCGTCTGTCTGATAGAAATATATACAATATTTTGTTCAGCTTTAATGTTTAATGTAAAATGACCCCAGCTTTTCCTATAAATTGCTGTTGTGACGTAGAGTGGCCCTGGGGAGGTATAAAAAATTATTTTTGTTTGTTTTGATGTAGTTTTTTTTACATTTTATACCTTCCTGTTCATCTACCCTAAACTGCTAGCAACATGCTTGCACTAAGATTTCTTGAAGAAAAAAATTCTGCTCCTCGAATTTCTTGTTTCTAAAAGTTAAACAAAAGTTGAAAAGTTAAAACGGGGATGAAACATAGTTTAGAACAATCTTTACGGTTAGATTAACACAGTTGAAAATTAAGTCTAGAATCTCAAAGGAGTTCTCTGCTTGAGTTTAGTCAATTATATTTTGTTATATTAGTTAAATATGCTTTAATAAAGTAAAGAATAAAAAGGGTTTAGGATGAATAATAATTGTTAACTCATCGAAATTATTAATAATTACTCAAAAGAAATTAAAATAACCCGTTTTCTGCAGATTCCAAAAAATAAAAAGAAATTTGATGTCACAAACTGTAATTTTATAATCCGTATATCTTTTCAACCTGGTGTCGTAGAACTTTAAATTGTATCAGAAATAATTTTCAAACACCGTAAGGTTGCAAACATATAGGAATGAGAAAATTACAGTTTGTAGCGAAAAACCAGTTCCTCTAAATTTTTCACTGAATATCTTATTGAAAGAATTCCGGGGCCTGTGGAAAACAAAACTATCTTTACGAAAATGTTAGAAAATAATTGATTTATAGTGTACTTATTATTATTCATCAAAATGTTTCCATCTTTTATTTTTCATAAACTCTTTTTTGAATTTAATCTTTTTAATTAAAAAATTTTTTTTTTCTTTTTTCTATGCTTTTCAACCTTTTGTGAGTCCACGAAAATTTAATTTCTGAAAAAATCGGTAAAATCTTTTTAAAAAAATGTTGAGTTTATTGATATTTTACGAATCATTTTCCAACGATTTCATTAGAAATCGGATTTCTGATTTATAAACAAGTCTTACAATTGCATGTCTCTTTGAAGTCACAAACGTTTTGAATTATATTTGTTAAACCCTAACAATATGAGTTTGTTGAGACCCAAACATGCATGATTAATGTTGATCATATCTTTTTCTATCTATAATTTACTGCCTAATTAGGTTTGAATGCATGGTAAGTTTATGTAAATTATAGTTTAGCTAAAGCTGGTTTAGTTAAAAAATAAAGTGGAGTTGGAAACTTATGAAGACAGTGATGAAGATGAACTAGAGATGACTGGTTTAATTTTATTCAAAATTTTTAAAGGAATTTATTTTTTGCTACAAACTCTAATTTTTTAATCCCGATTTCTTTGTAACCTGAAAATCAGAGTTTGTTGCAAAAACTCCATTCCTGTTCAAGTTTGAAACACGATATTTCTCATTCTTTCTTGATCAGAAAAGGGTTTTAATGGTACTGTAATGAATAGTAAATATAAATTGAGGGTCACAGGGTTAAAAATATGCATATTTTCACTGCAAGGTTGCAAATAACATGATTTTCTGCGATTATTCGAGAATAAAGATTAAGAGAAGTTGTTGAACCAACTGTATCTTTTTCAACTACGTTCTTATCATCCAAAAATCTCCAACTCTGCTTCATAAAATGAAATGATAAGAAGACTTTACAATTTTCATTAAATACTTTTTTAACAAATCTAAAGAGAAAATCAGATGATTGTTTTTTAGAATTTGTGTTATTTTCTTTCAACTAAAATTATGCTTCTGTTTGTTGATACATGCATTATTTCTTGTCATTTGTATTTAGAATTAACAATAATTTTAACCTTTTTTTGAGGTAAGTGATTTTTGTATGTAGTGATTTAGAGTCTTTGAACTAAACTAGAACGGTGTACGATTAAATTATGTACATAGTCCAAATTTTATTATAGATTTAAACAAAATTTTGAGAAAAATCTGAATTGGAAAAAAAAGATTTTGTCAATATATTGAAGTTCAAACAATATTTTATCTGTTTTAATCAAAGAGGGGGCCAATTCGACACTTTGTGACACCAAATTTTTGACAGGCTGCGTTTGGTCCTAATAATTGAGATAGAAGGCTGAAATTTTGCATGCAACTTCTAATTGTCGTCATCTATGTGGATCACGAAATTCGAGATCGGAGGGTATTACCTCCATCTTGACCTCCATGAACTTAGAAAAAACGGGACCTACGGAGGTCATTGATATCTAGATGTCAAAGGCCTCCAAGATCCTCTAAGGTCAAAATGGAGTGTGATAATAGAATCGGAACTCCAAATAAAATATGATTTGATACCTCACAAGACTTATTTTCATTATTTCATATTTTGACCTCCGGAGGTCATTGATATCTTGAGGTCAAATGCCTCCAGGATCATCTGAGGTTAAAAGGGATACCAGAATGGAATCGGAACACCAAAAAACCTCACGTGACTTATTTTCATTGAATTCCTATTTTGACCTCCAGAGATAAGCAAATTTTGTAGGTCACGACCTCCAGGATCATTTGAGGTCAAAAAGGAGTATCAGAATGGAATCAGAACACCAAAACCATATCATGACTTATTTTCATTGATTTAATATTTTGACCATTTTTGTAGCAAAAAATGTGTAAACATGTTTGATTAACTTATAATAATTAAATTAGAATGAAAAAAACGGGTTTTCCCGTATTTTCTGAGTTCATGGAGGTCAAAATGAAGATCCTCGTGATCCATGGTGATGACCACAGTTAGAGGCCACAATTTCGGCCTTCTATCTCAATTATTAGGACCAAAAGCAGCCTGTACAAAATTTTGTGTCACAAAGTGTCGAATGGCCCCCCCCTTTAATTAAAAAGAATGAATACATTGTCTTTAAACACTGGATAAACTATGAAAAAAATAACCAGTCCTGATAGTTATGGCTTTTTACTTTTGAAAGTTTATCGTCAAATAAATTGTAAAAATAAATCCAACGTTTTATGAAGTACATGAAAAATAAGAGATAAAGTTGAGATTGACTTCAACTGGTATATCTCTAGGTACATACTTCAACTGGTATATCTCTAGGTACATACTTCAACTGGTATATCTCTAGGTACATACTTCAACTGGTATATCTCTAGGTACATACTTCAACTGTATAATGATGATGGTGGCCAGCAGTGTGGTGCTTACAGTTGTAGTTCTCAATTACCATCACAGAACTGCAGAAACACATGTCATGCCTATGTGGGTAAGTAATAAATTAAACGTATGCTGATTAAAGTGACTGTAAAAGCATAATTTAAAGTGTCCCTCATTCAAAGAGGGGAATGCCTGATTTACAACGGTACCCTTTAAACCTTTGTGAGTTCGTCGTGTACGTACAGATATATATGTGTGTTTAAAGGTACCCAGAGCCCGAAATTTAAAAGAGTATCGTTGAACGAAACTCCCGAGTTTTCTTTTTGGGGTCTTAACATTTAGTAGATTTGATTTAAGAGATTTGACAAGAATGGAAAATATGAAGAAACTTAATAAAAAAAAAATATTTCATAACAAAAATATTGATATCCACAAAACTGCCTAACCCCATTCTTGAAACCCGGGTTTCAAAACTGGTTTTCATAACGATACCCTGTTTTAAGTTTTGGGCTCAGACGCTTGCAGTCCGCTGAAATTGCTGGAACGTGTGCGCTATCTATCTATTGTCTACCTACGTAAAGTCTCAACTCAATACAGCGCAATGTCCACCAGCATTTTCAGCTCACTTTATTATTTCAAACGTTGACTCTTTAAGCTGTCATAATTCATTGTTTGAAATACAAAAGTTATAAAACAATTTAAATACCAAGACATTTTTTTATACTAAAGGTCTAAACATTTTTTTGACCGCACACACTGCACAGTTTTACTTGAAGTTCTAAAATACCGGGATAAGTTCTCCTAATTAAACCTTGTTTCTAAATTTTCTGCTCAATGCAGTGTACATCTGCATTGGGAAGTCTGAGTTCATGTGACATTTACCAACAATATACTATCTCCTAAAGTTAAGTTTAAGTATTGTCTGTGGAAAAGTCAGTGGAGGGCACAGTTGTTGTTTTCTCCATTATTTCTCCATTATTTACACAATATCTACATATTCTTGTACACTTAGGTCTTCTCAGACTTTTATTGCTTTAACTAATATCTCTCAAGAGAAAGAAAGTTCAATTAATGCGGTAAATTCCTCCCTCTTCTCTCCTCTTCTTTCTCTATATTTCTTTTATCTGCTCATCTTCATGCACCACCTCCCTCATCTTCATGCACCACCTCCCTCATCTTCATGCACCATCTCCCTCATCTTCATGCACCATCTCCCTCATCTTCATGCACCATCTCCCTCATCTTCATGCACCATCTCCCTCATCTTCAAGTACCATCTTTCTCATCTTCATGCATCATCTCCCTCATCTTCATATACCATCACCCTCATCTTCATACACCATCTACCTCATCTTCATGCACCATCTCCCTCATCTTCATGCACCATCTCCCTCATTTCATGCACCATATCCCTTATCTTCATACAGCATTTTACTTTTATTTATGTACCATCTCCCTCTTCTTCATGCACCATCTCCTCAGAATGACAAATAAGGCTATGAATACCAGCATACACCCCAGCCAAGAGAACATTTTCAGAATTCAAGAATGCAATGATTTTGGGGTTGTACTTGTACCATTGTGAACTGAGGAGAATTGTGAACTCTTTAGTTGATCTCCGATGTACAAGATAAGTAGTCGAGCCTGCCAACTCTGGTTCATGTGTTTAGTTGATCTCCGCGGTACAAGATAAGTAGTCGAACCTGCCAACTCTGGTTCAACTGTTCAACATTTTGAACTCCAACCTATCCTTCAAGATGCATATTTTCTTTCTCTTTTCGAAATTTTATTTTCAAAATTATCTTCAGCATAGTTTCTCCTTCTTGAGTTTTGGTTTGGGTTTGATTGATACACATTATTTATGAATGAACTGCCTAGCAATGTTGCACATTTTGTTCTCTGCTGAGACAGATGAAATTCGGAAACCAGGAGGAAACACGGAGGACAACTATGAGGAAACCAGGAGAAAACCTGTGAGGAAACCTAGGAGGAAACCTGGGAGGAAACCTAGGGGGAAACCTAGGAGGAAACCTAAGAGAAAACCTGGAGAAAACCAAGAGGAAATCTAGGAGGAAACATAAAGTAAACCAGAAGAAATCCAGAAGGAAACTAGAAGGAAACCAGAAGGAAACCTAAGAGGAAACCAGGAGGAAACCAGGAGGAAAACTATGAGGAAACCAGGAGGAAACCTGGGAGGAAACCTAGAAGGAAACCTAAGAGAAAACCTAGAGGAAACCAGGAGGAAACCTAGGAAGAAAAATAAAGTAAACCAGAAGGAATCCAGAAGGAAACTAGTAGGAAACCAGAAGGAAACCTAAGAGGAAACTAGGAGGAAACCAGGAGGAAAACTATGAGGAAACCAAGAGGAAACCAGGAGAAAACCTGGGAGGAAACCTAGGAGGAAAGCCTAAGGGGAAATAAGGAGGAAACCTAGGAAGAAACCTAAGAGAAAACCTAGAGGAAACCAGAGGAACCCTGGGAAGAAACAAGGAGGAAACCTAGGAGAAAACTAGGAGGAAACTAAATATGTCAAACCTGTATTGCTATTAAACCTAACTATGCTCATCAATAACTAACAGAGCTTTTAAATAACTAAGCAAAACTTTTATTGTGATTAATCTAACTGCGCTTGAAGATAATGACGTAAAACTAAGTCTGTATCATAGAACTCAAAAAAAAAGTCAGTTGGAACAATACTTCGCTTTGATTACGGTGTTAATGTAATTGTTCCTCGTTTAGCGAACAAGAGGGGTCCTGAATCACTTTTTTGGAAGAAAGATATAGACCAGAAGTTGTTTCTTGAAACATAGATACCTGAAGAATACAACAGCGTCTTATCTGGACTGATACAGATTGAGTATTCTAGCTGAGAATCAGCACTAGTTGTATCTTGAAACATAGATACCTGGAGAATACATACTGAGTCGTATCTGCATTGATTACTGATGAGCCTTGAGTTCTAGATTGAGTTGTATCTTGTAAGACATATACCTGTGAATACAGATAGAGTCGTATCCGGATTGATACTGACAAAGGTTTTGTTGGAGAACCTGGAGTTCTAGATTGAGTTGTACAAGGATTGATACTGATATAAAAGTTATTATTGGAGTAGGGCATTTACTACAACCCTGGGTGCTTAGAATGATTATATATATTCTTGGTTCGAAGTGTATTCCTACAATGGTTACCCTGGGTGCTTAGAATGATTGTATATATTCTTGGTTCAAAGTGTATTCCTACAATGGTTACCCTGGGTGCTTAGAATGATTATATATATTCTTGGTTCGAAGTGTATTCCTACAATGGTTACCCTGGGTGCTTAGAATGATTGTATATATTCTTGGTTCAAAGTGTATTCCTACAATGGTTACCCTGGGTGCTTAAAATGATTATTTATATTCTTGGTTCGAAGTGTATTCCTACAATGGTTACCCTGGGTGCTTAGAATGATTATATATATTCTAGGTTCGAAGTGTATTCCTACAATGGTTACCCTGGGTGCTAAGAATGAATCGACCAAAGAAGAAAATCACAAGAAAAACAATTATGATGAACAACAGGTGAAAATGCGTTGGTTTCACTTAGACTGAGAACTTTTAAAGGGACAGACCGGCATACTGCATACTCAGTTTAACTACCTTACATAGCCGGTCTGTCCCTTTAAATCACATAAAATTCATATGAATCTGTCAAGAAGAGGATGTCAAAAGTTTATTGAACGTAAAATTGAAATCTTATAATTTTTCAATTACAAATCCTGTTTAAAGAGTTATTGAGAAGAACATCGGACTACCGAATACATATGTACTTGTACGTAAAATCATAACTAGTACACGCACTTCTGACCCTTTAGTAAAAGTAAATTCAACCTAAAGTCTGACCGCGTCAACCTTGTTGCACCGTCTTTTCCTATTGAGTGTCTCCTTTATTTACCCAATGTCCAAGCGATACAGTAAAAACTGGGACTGGAAAAGTTGACCTGGCTCGGAAATTCAAATGTGCTACGGCTGCTCGAAAGGGGAGCAACGAGGTCGCATAGTCAGACAAGTAACGTCGCATAAAAAAAATTGAGTTATTACCAAAATCTCAAATTTTCTATTCCCTATATCTTTGCAACCCAATGTTGTAGACCTTTGATATTTCAAACTATGAATTCTGTTAGATGAAGTTTGAAATATCGAAGAGTTACACCATCTGGCTGCAAATATATAGGGATTAGAACATTTGGGTTTGTGGCAAAACTCATCTCTTTTGACCTTATCCTGCTGTATATAAGTTTGCAGAATAGTCTGTACTGTTAACCTTTCTTTAACTACCAAAAAGTCGGTCTGGTAATTCCAATGAACTAGAATTTGGCAATCCGAAACTTTTGAAGATGAGAATTTGATTTGTAAATTCTCAAATTTGGAATACCTTTCACTACGTATGAGTGATGTTTGTAAATTTTAGTTTATTAATTGAATTATGTTGAATGTTGAATTCAAAGGATCCTCATATCATCACTAATTTCCTGCCCTTAACTCACACCTTTCAGAGATTATTTAATTTCAGCGAATATATTTGTTAAAAATTATATAAAATGTTTCCGTTAATAGAATTTACCCGTTAATAGAATATATCTGTTGATAGAATATATCCGTTATTAGAATATATCCGTTAATAGAATGTATCCATTATTAGAATATATATCCGATAATAGAATATACCCGTTAATAGAATGTATCCATTATTAGAATATATATCCGATAATAGAATATATTCGTTAATAGAATGTATCCATTGTTAGAATATATATCCGATAATAGAATATATTCGTTAATAGAATGTATCCGTTAATAGAATATACCCGTTAATAGAATGTATCCGTTAATAGAATATATCCGTTATTAGAATATATCCGATAATAGAATATACCCGTTAATAGAATATATCCGATAATAGAATATATTCGTTATTAGAATATATATTCGTTAAAAAATATATCCGTTAATAGAATATAACCATTATTAGAATATATCGGTTAATGGAATATATCCGATAATAGAATATATTCGTTAATATAATATATCCGTTAATAGAATATATTCATTAATAGAATATATCCGTTAATAGAATGTACCCGTTAATAAAAGATACCGTTATTAGAATATATCCGTTAATAGAATATATTCGTTAATAGAATATATCCGTTAATATTATATATCCGTTAATAGAATATATCCGTTAATAGGATGTATCCGTTAATAGAATATATCCGTTAATAGAATGTATCCGTTAATAGAATATATCCGTTAATAGAATGTATCCGTTAATAGAATATATCCGTTAATAGGATGTATCCGTTAATAGAAGATACCGTTATTAGAATATATCCGTTAATAGAATATATTCGTTAATAGAATATATCCGTTAATATTATATATCCGTTAATAGAATGTATCCGTTAATAGAATGTATCCGTTATTAAAATTTACCCGTTAATAGAATGTATCCGTTAATAGAATATATCCGTTAATAGAATGTATCCGTTAATAGAATGTATCCGTTATTAAAATTTACCCGTTAATAGAATGTATCCGTTAATAGAATATATCCGTTAATAGAGTGTATCCGTTAATAAAATATACCTGTTAATAGAATGTATTCGTTAATAGAATATATCCGTTATTAGAATATATCCGTTAATAGGATGTATCCGTTAATAGAATGTATCCGTTAATAGAATTTACCCGTTAATAGAATGTATCCGGTAATAGAATATGTATATATAAAATAGTTTTTCTTTCTCTTTATAGATTTTGAATAAATTTCAATAATTTATATTTATCTTCGGCAATTCCTTTTTTGTTATATATAGTCATAAAACCTTCTCTGTGGTCATGTGCATTACCACAAATAAATGTGCACTTTTGACGTGTAAACGTGCAAACGAAATATAATTTTAACATTTTTTAAAGAATGAAAGAGTTAGAAATGAAAGAGAAAGCATCAAAGAGTTTGCTCGCAAATGTTCTAGATATTGATGATGATTTCAGGTAAATAAAATGGATTTTAAAGGGACTTGCAGCTTTATTTCAAGTGACCCTTAATACAAAGATGCCAACGCCCGATTAATGTCGCTTTTTCCTACTTTTTTTGAATCCGACATTGTCATCTTTGTATGGAAGATAACTTAAAATAAATCTTACAGTCCCTTAAACTCAATTCTCATGATTAATTAATAAAATCAGCGTATCTTCCGATACCCATTTAGCATATTCTAAAGAATTTTTTTAAGGAGAGGTTTTTCAAATTTTTTCTTAAAAGTCAAATTTGTCCTTCTTCAAAGGGTTTTAGAAAACATTTAAAATTTTCAGCTCAGTACACTTATGTTTACATTGAAATTATTTGGCTTTCCTGGTGTATCTCCTGGAATATAGATATAAATATTTATATCTTAGGATAAATATATTGAAGGTGTGTTCTCTATATATTTAACATAATGGATTGATTATGCATAGTGCTAGGAAACATAGGGTATAATCAAATAGAAAATGCATAAAAACATCATACATTATTCATTATTATATTTGATGCTGCATTTTCACAAGTATTAAACAGCTAGAATGATTTGTCAATTGTTAACAAATTCTTTGGGTTTAGTTCACTTCAAGAGAATTAATTAACACATGTACCAAATACTAATTGGCAAATCCATTAAACGTAGAAAGCAGAAATTGATCTTTTATTTAGAGTTTTCCTAAGAAAAGTTTTATCAATCATAAAAAACTTATAATAGAAAATTTAAACAATACCCCACTGTACTGTATGTGTTCTTAGCAGGAATAACCATTTAAGTGTTGTCGAACTAAAAGTATGTAAATTGCCAAGCAAAATTTGTATAAACATTATATACTCCATGCATTTCAAGAAAGCTTTTTAAAAAACATTATAAGATTTTCCGGCTTGCCCATAAAATTTGTTGTCGTGTATCAAACTGTTCATAGTTTGCCATTTAAAACTCTTTTAGTCCTTACAGGCCATTTAAAATGCTAAAAGGAAGTGTTCGGAAAAACATGAATGGGGTTTATTAATCTTTCTCTTCCACTTTTCACTCGAGCGCGACTGAGCGATAATGCCGCACATCAACCATATTTTTAAAGATAGAAGTAAAATCAGTAGCAATGGAATCCAAATTTAATTCAGATACAGCCTATAATATCCATTACATTTTTCGCGAACACTCCCTTTAATGGAAGTTACATCATTTGTATTTCAAGTAAACTTTAGCGAGAGGATAAAAAGTTTTTCTGAGAATAATTATCTTAGTATTTACAGAATAGAATCCATAAAAGTTATCGCCCTGAAAGCAGTTAACAACTATTTTTGAATATTCAACGCATTAATATTTAAATCTAAGGAGTTCATGACTCTTGAGAATAAGTGTCCAGAATTCTTGAACTTATTTGACAACCTTAAAAGAGGTGAAAGTGCACTGAAGTAGAACCTAAAGTAGAATAAAACTCCGATTAATAATATGTTGCTACGAGTAAGAGCTAAAAAAGCACATAAACAATGGAACTTATTTAGTTTCTAGCTTTAGAGTTCATAGCATTCATTTTCAGACCGCTGTCAGTGGGTGGAGGGTTTATGAGAGTTAATGGAAACCCTATGGAGAATAATGTAGGACATAATCATAATCATGTTCAACCTCCAGCTACTCCTTTACCACAGGTAGTAGATAATCTAACTACTCCTTTACCACAGGTAGTAGATAATCAAACTATACCTTTACCACAGGTAGTAGATAATCAAACTATGTCTTTACTACAGGAAGTAGATAATCAAACTACTCCTTTACCACAGGTATTAGATAATCCATGTATACATTTACCAAAGGTAGTAGATAATCAAACTATCTCTTTACCACATGTAGTGGATTATTAACTATCCCTTTACCACATTAAGTAGATAAATTCAGCTATACCTTTACCACAGTTAGTAGATAATTTTTTTCCAGTTACATCTTTTCCAAATGTAGTATATATTATTTTCCAGTTATACCTTTACACTGAACACAGGTAAGATGATCATGTTTATTCTCGACACTGTTTTAAACATATCTACTCATGACAGCACCAGTCCTAGTAAATATACACATTCTCCCCAGTTGGAGAACTAGACCTTTTTAGCTTGGAACTGTAAAGGTCTAACGATGCTCTGTATGGTAGAATGTGCTTGCTCTCATCAGACTTGTTCTACATTAAGTAGTTTATATCACCTTCAACTAAGCTTTTGGTGCATTCTGCGGTAATTTGAAGAACTTTGGCCGAAGATAAAGTAGTGTTTAGTGGAGAGTGAAATAATAAAGCTCTTTTCTTATATATATATATATAATATATATATATATGTTTTCTTTAGCTGGACCAAATTGGCTGAAATTTGTTAAGGGAACCTTGGGATGACATAAACTAAAAATTTGAATTTTTGTTTTAGCCAGGTCAAACTAGTAAAATCGTAATAAAATACTGAGCGCAAGTAAACGGCAGGAGTAACTATAGACTATGAATAAAAATATTAAATTGGGCAACGCCGGGTACTCTAGCCACTTATATATAAATGATTGCAACTGCATTACAACCCCTGTAATCATATTAATACTTTTAGCCTTGCAAAGGAGCCGTTTTGTTTAAGTTTAAGCTTCAAAAAATACAATTTTGAAATTTGAAAACAATTGAAATGCCTTGGTTGTATTTAAGCAAACAAAATCTATCTGGAATATTAAAATTGTCTCTAGTTGAGTGAAAACTTACAATGCTGTTTACATAATATTCTTATGCCAACCTTGTTTCCAGATTAGAGGAATTAAATAAGTACTTGCAACAGTTAAAGCCATACTTACTCAATCGACCTCTTTCTTAACCTGTTTTTGTTTAGGGTAGTTGTGCATCTAGTAGAGAACTGCAGTGTATTCTCAAAGAAATTAGGTAAAAAAATTTAATTTATTTTCGAAATAGTAGAAATCAATATCGGTATTAACCAAGGTTTAAGCAAGCCTGAAAGCACTGATTTTGAACCCTAACCACGATGCAAATGCCTAATGTACTAATCAAATATCAGAAAACTTTATTTATATTTATTTTCACTTAAATGAAGATACTACACCTGAAATTTATGCAAGACAAAAAGCAGAAGAAGATAAATTATTAATAATGATTTAGTAAAATTGAGCTCTCAGAGCAAAGAATTCCACAAGTGTTCTTGAGAAATTAATTGTTGCAAGTACAATACTAATAGTTTTCGTGAGATATCTTTTTCCCAAAAATATTTTTCGCGAAATTTTGAATCATTTTCGCATTTTTAGCTTAATTCCTTATTTTTGCGAAATTTCTTAAAAGAGTTAACGAAATACAAACCCTTTACACAATACACATTTAGTTTATAAAGTTTAATCTGAAAACCCTTTACACAATACACATTTAGTTTATGAAGTTTAAACATTACTCTTAATCATAAAGGAATTGAGTTTTTGCCACAGACTCAAAAGTTCTAATCCCTATATCTTTGCTATCTTATGATTCTTTGATCCAAAAGAATTCATAGTTTGAAATATCTAAGGTCTACTACATTGTGTTGTGAAGATATAGGGATTAAAAAATCAGAGTTTGTGACAAAGACTCAATTCCTTTTGTGAAAAAATGTAACTGTTCAGGATTTATTTCTCTAGGGTTGTTTCTATATTGGTATTAAATCCAGGTATATGACAAACCGACTCCGGATGCGAGATGATGAAGAGGAAATAGTATCAGACTGGAAGTTTGCTGCTATGGTTATTGACAGGCAGGATATCATCGTTTATAATGTTTCATACTGAGTTTGACTAAATAATTAAGTTTTATTTTGTTTAACTTATCTTTCATATAAGTTTCCAGCTTGAACCTTTAAATATAGAATATAGATAAGAGCTCTTTTGTCTTTTCTCAAGGGGTTGGTACTATTATCAGTACTAGTTATTGAAAGTTCCTGGTGCAGATGAAAGTAGAATGCAAAAAGATTCAATTTCACCCTTTTCCAATATCATATATAAACATCTTGCACTGCATTTGCAAGATTGATAAAATTTGCAAGTTTTAAAATATTATGTGATAACCAACCGCGAAGGAAGCCAAGTAAATACTTACTTTAAAATGAGCTTGGATCAGTGCTTACAAGTTAAAATGGGATTCTCAAATGATCACCTTGCTCCATACAAAATTAAATTTTGCAAGTACAAATAAAAAGGGAAAAGGAATCTCTTAATTTATGAATAAATAATTGGTTTGTTGTGAAACCAATTGCAATCTAAAAATGATGATATCTATCCAAGGTTCTGTTTGATCACGTTCACCACCTTTACCGTGATCACAACTATAGCAGTTCTCCTCTCAGCTCCACATATCATTGTAGAATAAATAAATTTAGTGAATATAACTTACTTTATACTACTCAAACTCAGTACACATGTACGCTCTATGCAGCATTAGTGTACACTCTGCTTTATTAGTGTACCATCTGTACAGAAAAAGCGTACACTGTGCGTTCTGAGCAGTGAGCATGTCAGCATGAAGCAGTTCAAAGTAGAACAAAAAGCAGTGAAAATGCTCCGAGTACTTTCTGCATACATTCTTTTCAGAGAATATTAATGTATTTTGCAAAATCTTCTAAAAAAGTGATTTGTCTAATTCTAAAAGACGCATTGATTCATTCAGAATTCAGAAGAAGAAAATACAATCTTTAATCTTTATTTTATCCCTTTTTTTGTCTTTGGCACAATGTGAGACTGCTATTAATCCCATAAACATTTGCGCTGCTGTATTCATAGAAATATCTGATAAAGTTTTATGTTAATTTTATAATGACCTTTAAGGAAGACACTGGCTATGTAACATATTTGAACTAAGAATGCAGTATTTTAGAGATAAACGTTAGGCTTCATTTGATAACATGAGTTATTTTTACAGTGTACAATTTTTAAATAAGAGCATAGAGTCGTTTGTACTATTTCATCAATTGTTTCATCCAGCAGAAGAAACTTTTTTTACAATTCTTTTTGGACAAAACATGTAATAAATACTAATCTACAAACTAGTTGCATGTATGTATAGGAACAGGTTGAGAAAAATAATGAACTTTTATCATTGAAAATAAGTTATTAAAATTAATTTTAAAATCTTGCAGGTTTCTGCAAATTCTTTTAGCTAGGGTCGCTTTATTTTTATTGTGAAAACGACATTTTGAAGAAATCGGCGAAAAAGATATAGAAACATCAAGGAGGATAGTGATAATGAAATTATCGATTCTGTGGTTCTACTATGACTTTCATCGATAATCTCTTTAATAAAATATGTTCCTAATTAGCAAATTATTATAAATTAATTTTTTTTACAGATTTTTTCTGGTTAAATAAATAATTGCGAAAAACTTTCTTCTGCTGGCTGAAACAACTGGTGAAATACAAACAACGTTACTCGCTTATTTAAATGATGTACACCGTAAAAATGTATCATTGGTATTAAATGAATCCTAAAGTTTTCTCTACAATACTTCATTCTCAGTTCAAATATGCTACATAGCCGGTCGCTCCCTTTAAGGTTTGAATTAAATTATTTTTACTTCTACAATTGCACAGAAATAAAAGAAATCAGTTTTAACTAAGATAAAAATATTAGTTAGGTCTTTGCATATCTTTGAGAAATATATATTGATATACAAGTTCACCTTGTATTTAACTTATTCAGGCACTACTAAATACTGAAAAATTAGGTTCCGACGCAAATGCCAAATTTTTACTATTTAAAAACTTGTCTGGTTTTCTCAAGCCTGTGCATGTACTCTCTTGTTAAAAGCTTATGTTTAACTTGGGGCGTAACCAAAGCTTGGTTTGGTTTGAGCCTAAATCAACGATATGGCGGGCATATTCAAAATAGAAAAATTATTATGTGTCAACATTTTTATTCGAAAATTACTTTTCTAATGCTTGTCGAAGCCAAAACTTTTGAAGACACTATCCCTTTGTAAAAAAGTGAATCTAATGATTAAAACTGTGCTATTATTGTATTTTAATCTGTTTGTAATATAGTCCCTGATGTCTGTAGTAATATTAGAAACTGCGTGAAAAAAAAACCTTATTCTAAAATAAAAAATGTAATAATTGTTTTCATATCTTTGTATCAAACTGTTTCTGTTTTTGCTATTCGATGTTTTCAAATTAAGACAAAACAAGTTTTTTGTCAGAAAATTTTTTTTGGAGGAAATTGGATATGATTTAAATCTAGACAAAGTTAGTCCTTCTTAAATGCAATTTCTTCAAAGGACACCCATTTTTGATAAAAGACAACATATCTTGCTCATTTGCTAACTTGAAATAGTTTTTACTTAAGATATAAAACTAAATACTAAATCCACTACCCTGCTCATTTCAGTAAAACATTCTCAAGGTTTCTTGTTTTATTAAAAATCTTAGGGATTTTTATATCATTGAATATGGATTTTATTTTACGTAATCATCCCAAGGGACAGTAAAGTAACATAACATCCATCAAGGATAATTATTTGTTGTCAAATTATAACGATTGATGTACCCAAAAGTCAAAATATCATGTTTTTAAGTAAAAATATTTGATTTTTGTTCCCTAGTAAAAATTTATTTTATTTGAATTGTATCTGAACGGATACAATTGTTTGGAAATAATTGGGGGGAATGGGGTTTAGAGGGCACAGCTTTTTTGATTTCTTACGTTTAGGGAAAATTTGGTTGTTCTTCCATATAAAAATGTCAGCATTGTAATTTTCCACGAAAATATGTAAATGTATTATGTCTAGTAGAGTAGAGAAGAGGCCATATAGTTTCCTCGTTCTTGATGTGATAAAGTATTGTTAATTATGCGGATTAAAAAATTATACATGAAAATATAAATTGGTAACTAGGTATTCCATTTTACTTGGCTTTTTAGGGGTGTTTTTTCCTAACTATAATTACAAATATGAAGCTGATATTATTTTGATGTAGTTCACTAGGCTCAAATATGAAGCTGATATTATTTTGATGTAGTTCTCTAGGCTCAAATATGAAGCTGATATTATTTTGATGTAGTTCTCTAGGCTCAAATAAAAATAAAAAAGCAAATAGTGAACAAACGAATTTTTCAAAAGATTTTGAAAAAAATTTCGTTTTTTACTAAACGAACGATTTTTTCTAACAAACTTTTCAAAAAACGATAGTTTTTTGACTGAACAAAAGATTTTTTTAACAAACCTTTGAAACTTTTTTGTGAAAAGAATGAGTTTATTGAAAGACAGATTTTAATGAACGAACAATTCTACTGAACGAACTAAACGAACAATTCTAATGAACGAACTGAACTAACTATTTTACTGAACGATTGTTCAGTGTGAAAACGAACAAAATAGATGGAAATGAACGATAATTTTGAGAATATATGGGTCGTTAACGAACGATGAACGAACGAGATAAAAACTGAATTCATCCATCTCTAGCCGCAGGGAAAAAAATTAAAAGAAATGTTCAGTGTTCGAAAAACATTTATGTCAGGAAACCCCTATAAAAAATACCCTATACACATCTTTTTTTTAAATTTTGGATTCTACAAATAGAGTTCAGAACCTATCCAAAAATGGCTGAAAAAAATTGTGCGATGAACCTTGTATTTTTCCAGTACGGAAACATTACCGCTGTTTTGTTTTGTAATGATTGACGTCATTTTAAGGAATGGTGTATTTGAAACAATTGTCTCCTTGCTAACTTAAAAAATTATGTTCAATATTGAAGGTTTTTGAGTCTGTCACAAAAAGAAATAATTTGGTGCTATTTTGAATCATCATTTGCTGATAGAGAAATGTTCAAGACGTAAGTAAAGTTCTAGTCATACTTTTCTTAGGGTCAGAGATGTTGAGGTTTAAAGCTTATCTACATAATAAAGCTGTTGGTCAATTAAATTATCTTATTTCAATGTTTTCTATACCTGGCCAACCGGCTGGATCAATTGGTTGAAATTAGCAGTGCCGAGCACTTCAGTTAAATTCAAGATTAAATACCAAGCGGGGGTAAACGGCATGCGTAAATATGAGTAATGACATAAACCTAGGCAACGCCGGGCACTAAATCTAGTATTAAACAATTTCAAATTCACAAGCTAAAGCTAAAAATCAACTGTAGAATGAGAGTTCAAAATGAAATAAAATAAATTAGTTATTTTTCAAAGGCATATAAAAAAGGTAAAGAAAAATAGCAACTATAATGGAAAAAATCGTATATATCCTGAAAAGGTTCAGGTCACATTAGTTTATAGTGAGGCTACAAATAATATATGCTACAAATATTCTGGCCTAACTTATAGTTTATCAATATTAGTAAACAGTTGTAAGTGTACAGTACAGCTAACTGAAGACACAGGTAGAGAACTATCATCCCCCCAGACTAAATCCGTGTTTATAATTTAATTCCTTGTAGTTTCTTTTGAATCTCGGTGTACATTGTTATATTACAAGGGAACTCGTATAGTTAATTAACACTCTCATATCTTTTCTTATCTCTCTTCAAGTTTAATGTTTAAGTTTCTAATTCTCAAGATTTTCTAAACAACTAAGAACTGCGGGCAGATTATGGGTAGGTAGACCCCTTCCTGTCTTTAGGGAAGAGAGGCAACTTTTAAATCAACTTTTTATTATAAAGATGTGGCCTAATTTGCATCTGTTTTAACTTCTATTGGAGTGTATCATGGACAAAGAAAATTTACTGAGACAGGGAAGATATGGAAGCTTTTATGAAATTTCCCCTTTCTTTATAGGCTGTTAGTTGTAACTTTAAAATATAATTTAATTTTAAAAAGAAAAGCATGGTTAGCTCATTCATTATGGTTCAGTTAAAGCTTTAAAGGGTATCGTTGTGATTAGGACATGTCATTGTATTAGTGGGGGTCACTAAACAATAAATTCACAGTCGTTTTAAAAAGAATTTATATCTTTTTAACCATTCTCATTGTTTCTCAGATAAAGGTTGAGAGGGTACTTTTGTGAATCTATACATGCCAACTTTTTAACTGCAGGGTCACTTGAAATCGAATTATAAATCGCTTTAAAGCAAATGTTTAATCGCTTTAAAGCGATTAAACATTTTCTTTAAAGCGATTAAACCTTTGCTTTATGCGATTAAACATTTGCTTTAAAGCGATTAAACATTTGCTTTAAAGCGATTAAACATTAGCTTTAAAGCGATTAAAGATTTGCTTTAAAGCGAATAAACATTTGCTTTAAAGTGAATAAACATTTGCTTTAAAGCGATTAAACATTTTCTTTAAAGCGATTAAACATTAGCTTTAAAGCGAATAAACATTTGCTTTAAAGCGATTAAACATTTGCTTTAAAGCGATTAAACGTTTGCTTTAAAGCGATTAAACATTAGCTTTAAAGCGATTAAACATTTGCTTTTAAGCTATTAAACATTTGCTTAAAGTTACCAGGATAGATATTTGTGTATAGTCCCTTACAGTGATAAATTTTATGGTAATGAAGTTATTTCCTCTCCTGTAAATCTAGGGATAGAACTACTAAAACATTTACTATGGAACTTGTATAGTTAATTAACACTCTCATATCTTGTCCAATCTCTGTTCCTGTTTAATGTTTAGGTTTCTAGATGTCCCTTCAAGTGATAAATTTTTATGGTAATGAAGTTATTTCCTCTCTTGTAAATCTAGGGTTAGAACTACTAAAACATTTACTATGGAACTTGTATAGTTAATTAACACTCTCATATCTTGTCCAATCTCTGTTCCTGTTTAATGTTTAGGTTTCTAGATGTCCCTTCAAGTGATAAATTTTTATGGTAATGAAGTTGCTGTTGTCCTAGAGTATATTGTTACAGATATCTAGGGTTAGAACTCCTTAAACATTTACTATTATCACAACAAACACAGGATGTCCAAGAAAAACTGTTAGCATTGTAACTTTATTTTTGAAAGGGGTCTTGTTTCTGTTAAAAAGATAGTCAACATATTCTGTCAAAAAAAAAAAAAAAAATATGCACCCTGCCTTAGTATAAAGTTCCAAACATAGATGAGAAATATTTCAATGAAACAATTTTCAGAAACAAATTAAAGGAATTGAGTTTTTGCCACAAACTCGGATTTTTAAATCCCAATTTCTTTAAAACCAAATGTCGTAGACCGTAGATATTTCAAACTATGAATTCTGGTGGATCAAACAATGTAAGTTTGAAATATGAAAGGTAGGTATGCAACATCTGATTGTTGAGATTTAGGTATTATAAAATTGGCATTTGTGGCAAAAACTCAATTTCTTTGAATTCTTAATCTTACATACAAGATTATGACGCTGACCACCATTTTGACCTCCATAGACCCAATAAAAGGAACAAAAGCCAGTTCTTTTGTGGCAATGTTCAGTGACATCAAAAAGAATCGACTTATGGAAGACGTTAAACTCAATATGTTTCAGCACCCTAGCATAAAAGTACCTAATCCGTGCCAGTGCAACACGTACTGTATTTGCATTTCATCATATTGTCCAGTCAGGCTACCCAGTGCGGTATAGTCGACCCAGCACGTTGTATGCAACAAATGCAAGATCACAACACAGAATTAAAGTGGGGAACGTGGGCAGGGGTTGTCGTACTGCGTTAGGAGGGTGTGGGCAGGGGCGTAGATAAGGATTCTGCAGGGGGGGGGGTAAAAATTGGCGAAATTTTTTTTACCCCCTCCCCCCCCTAGAAAAAAATCATGATGGATATCAAATTATTGGTTTTAATTGGGTTTGATTTGCATTTTCCACTCATTTCTGGGATTTACAAACTCAATCTAATAAAGTGGGGGGGGGGTAAATAACCCCAATAACCCCCCTTATCTACGCCACTGGGTGTGGGGTAGATACAAAATAACACAGTTGGAATACATCCATGACGTAATTTGTATGAAGCTAAAATGTTTGTATACAAACATTTATTTACAAAACTGAAATAATTATATCATGGTTTTAGAGAGAAGAAATAAAAGAATTAGAGGATATTGCTTAATTCATTCTTTCATCTTCACATTATTATTATCCTTAGATCTTTTTCTTAATATATTTTATTCTCTTTTCTGAAAACAAAATTAGACTTTGTTTAAAAATATTTTTTCGTTTTAATAAAAAGCATTTTCTCGGGAAAATAATATGTTTGAAAAAAAGTTTTATGAACGTGAGAAAATTTTATGATTATGGCAAGTCTTCATGATCATGACAAAATTTTAAGATCATGACGAGCATTGATGATCATGAAAATGTTTTCATCATAGTTTTCTACAGCAATCATGACAATCGGTTGACAGTTATGATTATAAAACTATTTTAATTATAACTACCTGTCATGATAAGAAAAATACCCGTTATGACGTTGAACAATTACCTTTAAAACCAGATTATTTTTAAATTAGATCAATGTTGTAGTTTTGAAAACTCTTTATTTTCATAGATTGTTTCTTTGCAAAAGTGTCTTTTAGAAACAATGAAGAAATTGTTAGAATTAAAAACTTCCACATTTAAGGTTTCAAGGGTACCGTTGTGAATCTGACATGCTCGTATTTTTTAAATTTTGACGCAGTCTCTTTAAATAGTTTATAATTACATGAAAATCCTTAATAAATCTTCCATAATGGAAAAGGATAATTATTAGCTAATGATTCTCTAATTAGACGTGGTAGTATTTCCTCATTAACATAATAATACAATTTTCTTAATCATTTCTCACTCTTCACATAAGATTACTTTTCTTCTCGAATCATGAACCCTACATGAATACATGCAAAGTAAAAAAGTAGATGTTAGTTTCACATTTATTAAAAATATATTTTAGTCTAGGTTGACCCTCGTCAGTTCTAACAATATAATAACCATCAAAATCGACAATAAAAGTG